GCGCACTCGGCACCATAGCGGGGGACTGATTTTATTTTATTCCCTCCTAGCCAAAGCTCGAAGCTATGCCGTCTGCTAGTCCGCAGACCGTGCCAGACCAAGGGCACAACTTGAATGAACAGGGTGCGCATTGGAGGACTTTTCATTCACGATCGGGGTATGTTGGATGGCAAAGGCTAGTAGCAGAGGGGTTGGCAGGGAAGCGGGCAAGGGTCCAAATATCAAGCAAAACAGAACGATACTTTGGAGCAGCTCTGCGGTCATGCCTCGAGGGGACACGCATCTGGAGCTTATGCTTGCCCGGTCCAAAGTGCACTCGCTAATACAAGATGTTAATGCACCCACGGGTGCCACTCAAACTGGGTTTCAGCACATTTGTGCTTAGTGCCACTGATTCTGACCCATGAAGCCATCTCCCCCTAATACACCGTCTTCAAGGGTCCTGATGAAGTCACGATTACGTGTGCCACCTGCGCGACTTCCTCGTCGTCGTTGATTCGCAGCACCGGTGTCAACATATCCGTCAGGAGGGGGAGGGTAATATGCCGGGCTGGGCTGTAATCGAATGGGTGCGTTCGGGTCGAGATGGCTGGCAACTCGCTGAATGGTCGGTGGGACCCCGCCACCCTGAGGGTCCATCGTGGAGGCACGTTGCCGACCCGCTCTTGTAGTTGCCTGGGCATAAAGACTCTGGGATGGTGCGTACTGTGATTGGGGCATCTGGCCTGGCATAAGATTCATCTGATGACCGTAGCCAGGTGGCTGCTGGGTAGGGTATGGCGGAGGGGCGCCTTGTTGGTGGCCTGTGAACACTCCGTTGTACATGGGAGGTGGGGGCTGGGCATGAGTGGGTGTGTGGAACTGGTTCAGTTGCATCGAGAAGGCAGTCTGTGCAGCCGACTGAGCGTGTGCTGCTTGCGCCGCTCTTTGTTTGCTTGCGGCCTCCGCCTGCTGCTGCTGCTGAATACCAGGAGCAACAGTCTTGTTAAGAGAGGAATATTTCAGGTTCATGGGAGGTACAAAAGGCCCTGTGAACTTCTGTTGTGTGATGAAAGGATGCAGCTTGGCTTGTTGTGGAGACCACCGCTCCAGCGGATTGATTGATAGCAAGCCGCGAACAAAATCAATGAAAGCCACTCGGTTGTTTAGCTCTGGTGCATTCTGTTAGCGAAGAGAGTATGTGCTGCCTTTGTGGAGACAAACCTCGCTCAATTTCTGCTTGCTTCATGTTTTTTCTCGGCATCGGGTAGCTTCGAATTATCTCTTCTAATGTCGACGCCTGGAAGTACTTCTTGCTCGGCTGCTCCTTCGTGCCATGCTCCCGCGAATATTGCTCCAGGCTTTTAAGGCGATATGTCTTTCTTCCAAACTCGTCCTGAGTCTTTTCGAAGAATTCACCAGACTGCTTTCCCATCTCTAACATCCACGTTGGCGGCAGACCTAGCATTTCCACAATCCGGCAAACCTGATTGTATTCTGAAGATCCTGGAAAGAGAGGTAACCCCAGGAAGAGTTCAACGACGATGCATCCAAGCGACCACATGTCGATCGCCGAAGAATAACTAACCCACGCCAATCTCGGGTTAGCATTGTGGGGAGGGAGGGAGGATTGAATATAGACGTACGGTAATCCAAGGAGAACCTCCGGGGAACGGTAAAACCTTGACTGTATATATGTATAGACCGTCTGTCGTTCATCACAAGCAGAACCGAAATCGATGACCTTGATTATGGGACTCTCCAGACTGAGGAGCTCAAGTTAGCTACCAAGCCCTGTTCATCAGCGAAGCAAGGACTAACTTTTTTAACAATATATTCTCTGGCTTCAAGTCGCAGTGAATCAAGTGCGCCTTATTCAGCAGACTCAACGCGTTTAGAAGCTGTTGAGCAAATACACGCACTAGTGTCGTGCTCAACCCTCGGAATTGGTTCTGTTTGATTAACTCGTAAAGATTCACACTTAGTATTTCAAATACCAAACAAAGATGCTGTCGGTGAATGAATGTGTCCTTAAGCCGTAGGAGATGGTGGTCATCATTCTTGTCATATCTGCTGTTGAGCTGCGATAGAAGTAAGTATGCGGGCTCAAGTGCCGAGTAACGAAGAGCTTACCAGATCCAAGACAGACACTTCCATCATGCTTTGGTTGAAATATGCGGTCTTGTTCTTGATTACTTTGACAGCCACGACTTCCTGTGTTTTTAGGTTCTGGCACTTCACGACTTGTCCGAAAGTTCCCTGTCCTAGTACATCGAGGATGAGGTAGCGATTCCTAGGATTGTCAATATAGACGGTGATAGACGAGCGGCTGGGTGATTAAACTCACTTGTGGCCTGCTTCCTCACTCCCCAAAATGTCGTTGACGTACAGAATGTAGTCACTGTCCTCATTGTCGTAGCCATCATTCTTGACGCCCTTGCTGGGCTTTGTCAAAACTCTCCTTGGGTTTCTCGAGGATTCGTAGTTAAAGCCAGGGTTGCATATCCGATATGTGGCAGGGAGGTGCGTAGTCAGGGCTTGGAGCGGCTATGAAGATGTTAGAGATACAGTAAGTTGATTAACTCTTGGTACATACACTAATGAAGCCACCCTCAGGGTTAGCACGTCTAAATGGGGGTTGCGCATTAACGCGCGGCTTCAGCTCCTGAACCGATTTGATCTTCTGGAACTTTGGTACTGGGCCTCGGCCTGGTTGTTGGCTGCCGCCAGATATCGACGCAGAGCGAGGAGATCTTCCATCTTGTCCAAAAGGTGCACTGAGTTGAGAACCTGCCGACGGGGGATAAAATTGCTCTGGGCTCATGTCTGTGGGCTGTAAAGGGGGAAGCCGCGGGGCGCGTGAACCAGCTGTTCCATGGGTTACGTCAGTCACCTAACTTCCTAAGTCCGCAAGAAGACGTGAGCTTACAGGGAGGCGACTGAAACGGCTGAGGCGGCGAGGAGTAATTTGGCACTCTTGTTGGCGAACGGCGAGATTGATTCGGCCCAGGCGGAAAGGCATACGCGTTGTGAGGCTTTCCGGGACTCGTATTGTAGGGCATCGAGGGTGACAGCACGTTCATCGGAGAATACCTACGGGCGGCCGATGATTCCTCACTGGGAAAGTATTGGGAGGAAGGCCGGCTATGATGGGATGGTCTTGTTGAATATTTCGCCCGGTTATACGGATCCGCATCTTCCATCGTCGTGTCTGCATCGGTGACATAATCGCGGCTACGTGGCGTCGCAGCTGGAGACGACGCCATCGATACGGATTTTGAGTTCATACCGGCCGACGCGGGCTTTGCTGCGACACCGGGGGTTTGAAAGGCTTCGTAGGTGTATCCCACGGGCGGTTGGGACTGTTGTGGTTGACCGCCGTATTTGGGACCGGGCTGTGGTGGATTAGACGTCAACCCATTATTGAACTGCGCAGGACGACCCATTAAGGGATCCTGGTATGGCTGCCACTGCGAATCCATCTGTCCGTCCTCTTAACACAATGCCTCACATATAACGGAGACTGTCCAGGTCAAGAAATCGGACGATGACCTTGTCGTCGTGGAAAGCGCACATGCACCGCGACCGGGTGATATACGGTAGTGGGGATGTCAAACGCACGTATCGCGATCAGACGGAGACGAAGCGGAGCACGAGCGAGCCCTGAAAGCAATTCAAAGATAATGAAAGGAAGGAAAAAGGAATTGAGGTTAGTTGCGATTTGTGTGGCACTTCATCATCCAGACGACTTGTCGCTATGGGGAGGAGGGTTTGGGAGTTCCAAGGGCGAGGCGACCAGTAGACGACGGATGGGGTGTGGGCAATTCACAGTGACGACGTGCGCAACAAACCGAAGTCGATGGGGCTGGCTGACACGCCAAGGGGCTGGGGAAACGAAGGGAGTACCAACTGCTGGAAGCCCCGGGGGTAAAGGGGAATCCAAGCAGAAGCACACAGCCAAAATTGAAGACTGTGTGAAAAGGTGGTGGAAGCAACGTCCAGCCGAAGAAGAGCTGACAACGACTAATTGCGGAGGGGGCGAGAAGAAGAGGGAAGGAAGTGAGGTTGGTGGAGGTGGTGGAGATGCCTGAGATTCGAGGGGAGTTCTTTGCGGTTGAAGGCCTCAGGCTGCCGTTGGGCTTAACATGGCATTCGGGGCAAGGGCAGAGGGCAGCAGCCCATAAAACTAATGTGTCTGTGTATTTTGGATGATAGTTTATTTCTCTCTCATTAATAACAAAGCTAGACTACTGCTAGTTAGTCTTAATAGTGTAAGGGGCGCTTGTTTCTTTTAACTTCCTCAACATTCGTATTGGGTTGACCAGGGTGTATGAACGGGCTGCTGATCTCACGACTCGTAACACAGTACGGAGTTTGAATACCTGGATTTGCTCTTCCGGAATGGTCCTGGGTTTTTACAGTCCTTCTGAAAGAAAACGAAATTTCTTATCTTGCTTGTCTATATTTTACATTTATTTATTTATTTATTTACATCTTTTTAATTTCACGCGTATTATTTTAAACCCTTCCACTAGGGTTAATGGCTGTCATGAATATTTACTGCATTAGTCCTTAATAATACTTACTGAGGCACATAGTACCTACTATATTACCACTATCTTTACCTCGCCCAACCAGCCTCTTAGCGTCTGCTCCACTGAAAGAACATACAGTACTCCCATAATTACTCAGTAAGTACGGAGTATTACAGAATAATTAGGTTGCAAAGCAGGTTCATAATGTGCACCTCATACCTATGTTTACCCCGTCCGGCTTGTATGTTCACAAGTCAGCTGCCGTTTGCAGCATGGAAAAGACAGCTTCGGAAGTCAAATACTAGGTAGTTAAGCCGCGTGAGATGAAACTTAGGCGGAACTAAATAAGACCAACGAAGGAATTCCCCGATATTTAGTGACATGCTCGACATCCAACAGAGATGAGCCCTTGAATCATAATCGATAGGCATCAATCAGTCAACAACCTGAAAAAGTAGATTAATACCCAATCCAGACTATACGGCGGATGGCGGCCCCAGTGGCCCCCCAATGCCACCAGTGACGTGGGAGGCTAAGACATGACGAACGTCTGGTTAGTCAGTTTGAGACAGTCCAGCCCCAAAGGCGGTCAGTGACTCACTATCAGTGGAACCATTCTGCCGTAATTATGATCATCAAGTCATGGATCATAGTTGTGAAGACCTTGCTGGTTCACTCACTTCTTATCTGTACTAACCCTCTGATGCATATGACTGATGCGCAGGGAACTGTATAACATAACCCAAGCTCAGCCTTAGAGAGGTCTTTCTTTTCCCGAGGTCTCCAAGCAGTATCTTCGTCAAAACTGTCCGCCGAACATGTACTGCGCCACTCATTCTTAAGAGAGTTGTTGGATAATTCCTTACTTCTAAGATATACGCCTCCATTGAAAATTTACTTCATACATCGTCTCTCCGCATCTAGTAATTCGAAAATCTTGGTATAGCAGCAGCTTCAAGTTCCGTTTCTCTTCATTTTCATTACCGAGTATGTCCAACAACATGGAGGGTGATTCGGAATCCTTAGCTCAGAACGAGCACTCCAAGGACGAACAAGCGATGCTCTCGGATGCAATCCCGTCAACGAGTCCAGTGATCTCATATCAAGCTCCTGCAACGGGTGCAGATGAAACGAGCCGTCTACGGGAGCTTCAAGCCGACGTTCGCGACCAGGATGACCTCGAGAGAGATATATCTCGTCAGGTAACTGTCACCGTGCCGCTTTGCGATCTTGTTTACTAATGTATATAGGCCGATAGGTTGCTCATGGAGCAGGCAGACGAACGTGACAATAGAAGGCTAGAACGTACAACACATGAAAAAGAGTAAAACCTTCTGTGGCAATGGCCTTTTAAATGTATTCTAATTTTCTTACAGAAAGCTTGAAGCGCAGATTATAAAAGCACACCAGCGGATGTCCCAGCCTATCGGTACATCTGCTCGGGTCCGCCTACAAAATGAGATTCAAAAACTAGAATCCCGTAATGCCGCGTTGGTGAATGACCTCGAAGAGATACAGCAACGCATTAATGAAAGACATGAAGGACAAGAATCTGGAGGGCCGGCTATGGGAACAGGTCGAATGCCTAATGAGTCTCGCAGAGATTATCTCATTCGAACAGGGAAGATCACACCATTTTCTAAAATGAGCACCGGCCCGAATGAGGGACCCCTTGCCAGTTTGCATGATGCTCTGATCGACGCCGAAGACGAGCGCGATGAAAGGGAAGCGTTGGAGGAAGTCAAAAATCGATCTGCAGTATCTCACCGGAACCTTGTGCGCCCTAGCTTTGGCTTTGATGAAGCGAGCGAAGGATCTATGGACAGGGATGAACAACCAAAAAAGCGGAGAAAATTGACCAAAGAAGCTAAGGACAGAGGGACAACCATGGATTTCGATGAAATGGATGGGATAACAAAGACTCTGGGAGATGTACCTTCCGATGATGGCTCAGCAAGTTATGTAGCGTCGGAGGAGGAAAAGTCAACATCAGAAGACGAGGATGACTTTGTACCCGAGGGAACGCCGCCGCGATCCGCAGTCCGAAGCAAGGCCAAGAAGACCCCAGACGATGTCGAGGATTTCAGCGGGCTGGACGATGGAAACGAGAAGGTCTATCAATCCAGGCTTCAGAATTGGATCACCCGAAGAAGTGCTGCGCGGAAGCGTGCCTTGCAGCGCAGTACAAATTTTCATGAACATGAAGAACAGGAGGAGTGGTTCATGCCTCACCCCAGTGTACCCGACGTGGACTATGACAACGGATATCGTGTTCCTGGTGATATTTATCCCCTGTTGTTTGACTATCAGAAGACAGGGGTGCAATGGCTATGGGAATTACAGCAGCAGCAAGTAGGAGGCATTATTGGAGATGAAATGGGGCTTGGGAAAACAATCCAAGTCATTTCTTTTCTGGCTGGGCTTCACTACAGCAAAAAACTAACAAAGCCGGTCATTATTGTGTGTCCTGCGACTGTCATGAAGCAGTGGGTTAATGAGTTCCACCGCTGGTGGCCCCCTTTTCGCGTTTCAATTCTGCACACCTCCGGCAGCGGGATGGTAAATATTCGAAATGAGAGTAGTAGGGAAGATGCGCTTCTGTCTCAGACGTGGGATAGTCGTCGTAGTCTGGGTGGGCTGAAAGCCGGAAGAAAAGTCGTCAAACGTGTGGTAGAGGAGGGTCATGTGCTGGTGACCACATACTCTGGCCTGCAGACCTACACTCCCCTTCTAATTCCAGTGGAATGGGGATGTGCTGTACTCGATGAAGGCCACAAGATCCGTAATCCTAACACTTCGATCACTATCCATTGCAAGGAACTCCGGACACCACATCGGATCATTCTGTCAGGCACACCGATGCAGAATAACCTGACAGAGCTTTGGTCATTGTTCGACTTTGTTTTCCCAATGCGCCTTGGGACATTGGTGAACTTTCGAAATCAGTTCGAGTTCCCCATCCGTCAGGGTGGATATGCTAATGCTTCGAACTTACAAGTGCAAACAGCAGCAAAATGCGCAGAGACTTTAAAAGATGCCATTAGCCCGTATCTTCTGCAGCGATTCAAGATCGATGTTGCCGCGGACCTTCCTAAGAAGAGCGAACAAGTGTTGTTCTGCAAGCTCACGAAGTTGCAGAGACAGGCGTATGAGGCATTTCTCGGCTCTGAAGAGATGCAATCTATTCTCAGAGGCCGTAGGCAAGTGTTATATGGAGTGGATATTCTACGAAAGATTTGCAATCATCCAGACTTAGAGAGCCACAAACTTACGTCGCATAAACCAGGCTACGGTAACCCTGATAAATCAGGCAAAATGCAAGTTGTCAAGTCTCTCCTTGAGCTATGGAAGGATACCGGCCATAAAACTCTTCTATTTGCACAGCATCGTATCATGTTGGACATCCTTCAAAAGTTTGTGGAGTCTCTGTCGGGGTTCAATTACCGGCGGATGGATGGCACCACGCCTATCGCCTATCGGCAATCGATGGTTGACGAATTCAACAATAATCCAGATCTTCACGTGTTTCTCCTCACCACCAAGGTAGGAGGGCTGGGAGTAAACCTAACAGGGGCTGATCGGGTGATCATCTATGATCCCGACTGGAATCCATCAACCGATATGCAAGCCCGTGAGCGAGCATGGCGGCTCGGACAAAAGCGTGATGTTACAGTGTATAGACTGATGACCGCTGGGACAATCGAAGAGAAGATTTACCACCGACAGATTTTCAAACAATTCCTCACTAACAAGATATTGAAGGATCCTAAACAGCGCCAGACTTTTCAACTCAGCGATTTGCACGACTTATTTTCTCTCGGAGAAGAAGGCCAAGGTCCAACGGAAACAAGCAAGATTTTCAAAGAAGCCGACATCACCTACGAAGAGGGAGGTGGCACGACCACTCAGCAGACACGCGCAGGTACTCGCATACAGAGTCACCCGCGGGACCGACAAGATGAGGAGAAAGACGTTAGCCGTGTTGAAGGTGTAGCATCAGTTGAGAACTTCCAGGGCGACTCTGAGCCGCCGAGCGACAAAGACCAAGGATCTTCTGGTGCTAATAACGAGTCGCGTATCATGGAGGGCATATTTGCCCGCTCTGGCGTTCATTCCGCGGTGGAGCATGATCAGATCGTGAATGGCAAACGTGTTGTGCGGGCGGATCCCAAGATCATCGAAGCGGAAGCGAAGAAGGTCGCCGCTGAAGCCGCCGAGGAGCTGCGTCGAGCGGGAGAAGCAGCACGGTCTGTGCCCATTGGGACGCCAACATGGACAGGCCAGTTTGGGCTTGCCGGGAGACCGGAGGAGCCCGCAGCGCGCCTGGCCTTCGGTGGAGGCAGTAGTTCTGCGAGACGAGCTGCAGCCGGCCCGTCATCAGCTAGCATCCTGGCCAATCTTTCTGCACGCACACCTTCCTCCCGAAGCGGCAGTAACAGCCCCGCGCCAGGCAAGGCACCCAGTGGAACGGATTTCATTACGATGATTCGGGACTTTATTGTATCCCACGGCGGGTCCGTCCATACGCAGATGCTGATTGACCATTTCAACCGTTTCTGCACTACTCCACAACGATCAGCTGAGTTTAAGGAAATGCTTAAAACTATTGCTGTGCTGGAGAAGGGTGGACGGAACGGTCGAGGTAAATGGTCTTTGAAGCCCGAGTACGCTAAGAGGAATTAATGAGTCGTTTTCTGCATTTACGTTCTTCTAAACCTGACGTTCCTCTTCCTTCCTCCCAGCTTCGTGTGTGGCTGGATGAGATGGGACAAACACTCCATTTCCTTCCCTCGGTGATAATTTTAGAAGCATCGGAGCAGTGGGTACCGTTTAGAATTGAGTAGCATGCTACCATGGATGGAATATTGACACCGGCTTGGGCTTGAATTCTACTTGGATGGGTATTGACCCTACCCATTATTTGTTTATCGTATATGATCTATATAATTTTTGATAGGAAGACAGAAGAATCTTCAATATGCATCTTCTTTCCTCTCCATATGGGCCAGTGGAACATCGGGATATACCCAGTGTTTCACAACTTCGCTTTCTGCACAGGGATATTACGAGATGGATGTCGTCCACACAAGTTGGTAAGAAAAGATACAATTATGATTACTAGCGATGCAAGACGGTATTCCCCCCCAAGCGTATTGAAACCTGACGATCATGATGTAAGTAATCAATCGAATGCATTTGTATAGAAAATGAAGGATGCTCTTCTTCGAAATGGCTTCCCCTTTCCCTTTCCCCTTCCCAATTCTCGTAGTTCTCAACAATGATTGGCATTGAGTTGAGTTACTTAGCACGATTGAGCCTTGCATATTACCGTATGGAATCGCAATATTCAGAGTGGTTCTGTGCAATCCTTGCAGAATTGTCCCCAATGGTGGCTCTACCATGGATCTGGCGTGTGGAGAAAAGAACCGCGAGGACAATTATCGACGTAATTGACCATGGGGGTATGACAGTCTCAAGAGGTTGAACCCACGGAACTAATATGATTATCCTTAATCTGCCAAGAAATGTCCGAAAGACTGAGAAAAGAACTCATGTAGTGATCCTTTAATGTCGATCTCAGTTGTGTCACTGCAGTAAAACATGACACAACACGGTATCGTAGAGGAATTAATAAAAATAGAAGCGAAGATCAGTTCGATTTAATTAAAGACGTTTGAGATCTATTCAATCAGGAGCCTCAGAAGAATTTCAAGACTACCTAAGAAAAGAAACATGATGTACCTTATGGAGTAGGTTCTGTATCAGAATTTATCCACATCGACTTCACAATGCATTGCCGCACGGAGAATAGGAATCACACATGATGTACTATACTGTACGTGACTGTGTACATGTGCACTTCGAGGGAAATATTTCTGTACAAAAATAAACCGATCTTACTGTGTAGACTGTGTGTGTTGGTGTATGTCTCAGAAACTTAGCGATTCTCCGCGTCTTCATCCCCCAGCAACCGACGATCGTTCAACTTCACTGGCCCACTGGGCAAAGGATCTCCGCTGCAAAGACCCAATTCCATGATTTCTTACGCAGGCCAAGGGGAAAGAATACAACCGCATTCGGTGGAGCTCTCCCTCTACTGCCAAGTCAGTGATTGACCCCAACTGTCCGGAGTCCTGTGGTACTGTGTAGTACTGCACTTTTTCTTTTTCTTTTTTTTTTTTTTTTCTGTTTCCGTGAACGATACCAAACCAGTAACTGATCATTCCACTACTCGGGGAACCGGAGCCGATGTTCTCTCCACAGTCAAGGGAGAAAGTGCATGTGGTGGCTATTCGGACATAAATAGTGCTTCTATCCCATCGCCTCCCTTCGCCACCCCGCGATCGTACATTCCACATTCTCCTCTTCAATCCTGACCTGCCTCTTTTCTCTTCCTTATCTATTAGATTATTCTTTAAGAATCCTTATTACTATCGTGCCTAAATTCTCCGAACGAAACGCCAAATTCCTTTCACAATGAAATTCTTCTCTTCGCTCGCCCTGCTGGTCTCCGCCGCTGCGGCCAACCCCATTCTCCGCACTCGCGATACCCCCGAGAACTTCCATCTCAAGACCACTGGCGCCAGCAACTCAGCACATAACGACCTCTATGTCTACGGCTACCACACCGGTGCTGGATTCAACGATGCTGTTCTCACCTCGGACGTCGGTACCGCAAGCCCGGCCTTCCTGAACGGCACGAATGTCCAGTTCAGTCTCGACACGCCTTTTCCTTGGGGACTGGTAATGCGACCACAGAACAACTACGGCGGTAAGCTTTTCCCCCCTCCCCTGACCTCGGGACAGAGGAACATGGGATTAACGTTTTCACAGCGTGGGAGCCGGTCGAGATCAACACTGGATATGGTACCGGTAGTTTCTCCATCAACGATGACGGCTTGAATTGGTCGGAACAGCAGGGATTCGGCGGCTGGTTGGGTAAGTTTTCATATCTAGTGGAGCCTCAATCCGCTGTCAGGAACTCGCCACTAACATCCCCGCCATAGTCTGCGACTGGTACCACAATGCGCCCCAGCTCTTCTATCTGTTCAAGAACTCCAACAGGCAGCCTATCATTCCTTCCTCCTGCAGCACGGTTCAACTCGCCGTCGAGCCTGTTTCCTAAACGGGAAAATCTGCACGAGTTTGCCACTGGCATGCCATGGGTCTCGCAGTGACAGAGACTTCCTGAGTGGTAATGCACAGGGGATCGGAGAAAGACGTCCCGGTCCCTGAGACGATTGTATCAATAACTTGGATACGTACATGCTGATATAAACTTAAATAATCATAATGAGTCGGGTGTGATGGGAGTTGGATTTTGAGTGTATATTATTACACCGTGGTTGACGATCTTCGGTACTTAATGACCCTGATGTTACAGATAAATAGCAATAGCTAGAGGAAAAGAAAAAAAAATTCAATAAACATGGCACACATCCAATAATCATCAATAGTTGTCGAGTGGCTGGTTAAGCGACCGGGAAAACCCTCAACGGGAGGGAAACACTTTCAGATCGTAGCGATCTTCCAGAGGTATAGTTGACAGAAAGCATGGGGAATTTCTTTTTGAGGATACTTGCCGTACGTCAAAAAATGCCATGATAAGTTTATCGGCAACAAGAATGAATTAGTGTAAACTACTAAATGAGTGAAGAAATCAACACGGTCGCGTGAGTGCCTCAGGCCGGCAACCGCCCCAAAAATAGCCCAGCATGTCTCACATGCGCCCAAACGGGTTAGAGCAGCGCCAATGAGTCCAGCGGGAGGTTCGTCGTTCTCGCTGTTCTTTTCGTGCCTTCCCTTTCACCAGCCCTTCTTATGTGTTTTGTCTATAGTCACTCTTGATTGCTGTTTTTGCGCCTTCATTTCGATCGCTTTTGCCCTCCCACTCCGACACGTTGGGTTGTTGCGATCCCCAGTCACTCGCTTTGTTTACTCGTTCAGGGTCCCCTCATATCATATCAGCCGATCTGCATGTTTCACCGGCCCACTGGTCTTAAATAGGACTTTTTACAACCCCCCGTTGCCATTTCCTTCCGCGCAGAACCATTCGTCAGCATTGCATTGAACACGATACACCTTGCTAGGTTCATCCATCCACCGTCAGTCAGCGTTCGTTACTTGGGCACATATCGCTCGAACATCGGGAGGACACAGATCCAACCGTCGATCTAAATTTGAGATCTCCAGGGGTCCATCGATCCCCCCATATTTTGGTCCAAACCAGGCAGTGAATCTTTCGGATTAACCCAATATGCGGTCCATCACTCTCCTTCCGTTGCTATGCCTCCTGGTCTTGCTGGGTATGGCCTCAGCTTGGCCACACCCGCACGGTGAAGTCGTGGCTAGAGCGGGTGAGTATCATCCGAGACTGCTATCATCCTTTGATCAACAATCGACTGACCTCTATAGAAACAACCGCTGGAGAGACCGCTGCTGATAAAGCAACAACAGGTGCCGCTGCTACCACTGAGCACAGCGCCACGAAGACCGAATCCCAGAGCGACGCCACAGAAACCGGTAAAAAGACAGAGACAGGCAAAGAGACAGGGACAGCGACTGGCACAAAAACTGGAAAAGCAACGGGCAAGTCAACGAAGACAGGTACCGATGCTTCCTCTACTTCGATCGATCCTCGGGACCCCGTGGGCGGTGTTTCGATGCTCACCTCCGCTGGAGCCACCACCTACTACAAGATCGGCGAATATGTGACCTTCGAATGGAAATATACTTCGCTTCAAGTAACTCCCTCGGCCGTCAACGTTGTCGCATCCTGCAGCAAGAACAGTGAAACCTATACCATCGCAAGCAACATGAGCGTCTCGGAAACCGGTAAGGTTGTCTGGGATACTAAGAAATACCAATCCAATGCGACGGTTCCGCTGTTAACCGCGACTTACACCTTGTTTGTCTACGATGCCAACTCCACGCTTGGAGACACCGCTTCTGCTGGGCACTTGGGCTCGCAAATCGGTTACAACTTCGGAATGTACACTCCGCAGTCTTACACCCCTCTTGACCGTACGTTCTCCCTTCTCCCATGGTCATCAAGCCCCGTTTTTAAACACGCTAACACTAACGCTACCTAGATTACATCTGTGCTACTTGCAACAGTGCCCTCACTAGCACCGAACGCAACGCAATCAAGTTTGCCGTCGGCATGGCTGCTATCACCGTCGCATCCTTCACGTGGTTTGTAAGCGGCACCGGTGTCTTCTACTCGTAATTCTTCAAAACCGACCCCTGATGAAATTATACGTTACCGTTACTGCGTTGCATTTAGCTGAGCGAAATCTCATGATAGCGATCATCAGCAGGCTGGACTGGCGTTTATGTGATTAAATTGTGTAATATGGTTGGGATTTGTGATTTTGGATTCTTGTTCATTTCTTCCCCTTGTCGATTAGAGTAACAGCGGTATTGTTATAATTATTCTATATGATGTTTGTCGTTGTTTATATGATATTGTCGATAGATAAATAGCTAATAGTGACTGATGTATATGAAGTGCATATATTATGAAGAATCTGGAATAAGCAACGGTATCAAAACAATCACGTTGCCCAGACAGCAACGACAGCATACTTAGTAGTGTACTCTACACCAACCCCATGCATTCAGTTTGCATACTAATTCATAGTACCGTAGTACATTTACCCGACTCCACAAAAAGAAGAAAGAAAGAAAAACCATACAAAAGAACAAAACAAAATAGCACTCTACAGATAGTACACCTTAACTAAAGACAACCACCTCAGGCAAGATAAACAAGACAGTTCAATACCCAACACTTGATACCCCCTAACCCAGCTAATAGATGTAGGTACAAATATAATCGCCTAGACACATTTACTCTATTCAATATACTACGCAAAGACTGAAATATACCATTTCTTACAGGTAGCCCCTAGCAATAAGATGATAACAAATCCAAGTCGATTCGGCAAGAAATAGAGCTTGATGTTTCCTGGATCTGGTATAATGCTTGTTTTGCAGGGAGAGCGTTGGTTATCGTTGGCTTTGTATTACATGTAGGCTGTATGTATGAAGGCTTGTGCGGGTGAGAGATACATGCTTGAGGAGGGCATGTGTGGTGCTAGATGAACTGGTCATTATCGGGGTAGATGTCTGGGGTCCATTGTTTAAGGGAGCTGGGTGGTTGTGTGAGGGTTCATTCAGGGGGTAAGTAGTCCCAGATTCTCAGTCCTGGGGTGTGGTTTCTAGTGTGGCCTAGTGGTGGTCTGGTTGTTGAACTTGTGAAAGCAAGGTATCTTGAAAGAAATGAGTTCGGGAATGAGACTAATATACTGTACAGCGGAGGGTGTTGCAGGTACGCTAGTGCTATTGGTATGATGACGGTGATTTGATCAGATACAGCTGGGGTGATAAGCTTCCCAGGTTGGTGATTGTTGGGGTTCAGATGGCTGCTTCTGTTGGCGAATGGCCGGTAGTTGTGCTGCGTTATCTGTCATCTTGCCGCACTTTACGCAGGGGGTTTGTTTAACATCGGAGTAGGATGATATCATGTCCTAGTCCTGGTTAGCTTGTCTACGAGGGGTTGATGGGGGAAATCACGTACAAGAAGATAGGCGAGATCCCATTGTCGCGAACGAGAGTTCAAACAATCGGATGCCGCGCCCTCGAGTTTCGTCTTAGCCTGACCAGGCATCATTCGACTCGAGACCTGCCATTCGGGCACGCCGTTCACCTCTGATCCACCGACCGTATGTACCTTGAATGTCATACCGGCCTTCGGTAGGACAACAGTGACGGTTGTCTCAGAATTACTCGGCAAGACTCGCACCCCAGGAACATTTTTCTGGATGAAGCTGTCGACAATCGCCCTCCAACCCCCTTCAGTCGACTGGATCTTCGAACGCTCGAGCTCCTCCTCAGATTTCCGCTGCTGCTCCACCCTGGCCGTTTCCTCCTTGACAAGTTCTTCAAGGAGAGCACCATAATTCCGATCCCAAACACTTGTCGGTTGCAATAATTGCCCGCCATTTTCCTTGATCTGGGCATCGACATGCCCCCACACAGCGTTCATTTCAGGGCTGCGCCACATGTTCTGAAACTCCGCCACCTCGGCGACACCAGCCTTCGCAGCCTGCGAAAGCTGCTCATACAGCATCTGCGGCGACCTCGGTACAGCCCTCCCCGCCGCAGCCTTCGGATTTACAATAGGCACCAAAGGCTCCAATAAACGGTCCGGGAGCAGTGTCCGCAGTTGGTGAATCTGGCATCGCACATTAGCCATGCATATCCAAGGATGAGCGGGATGCTAAGAAGACAAACCATAGCCTCCAATTCCTGGAGCTTCGCGAGAGATGATACAAGCTGCATTTCCGAGTCCGAGACCTGCTTGGTTGCATTTGTATCTTGTTTAATTGCCGGTGATGATGTGGCGTTGACAGTTATGTTGTCACCCTCTGGCTTGCTGGCATTGGTCTGGTTTGTATTGCTATTGTTTGGCTTTGTTTCTGAGACCCCCGGAAGGCCTTGTTTAGATGGGAACTCCATGTTGGGTACCACAACTGACATCGTGGGGACTTTCGGGGCAGCTTGTGATGTGCTGGCTATTGTTTCCGGACACTGGGGAGCAATGGAATTTGAAAATAAATTTCAATCCACGCGACACGCGTCCTTGTGCACAGTAGCTTTTGAGAGAAAAAGATCCGAACAGAACGATGGGGTCAGCCCAATTGAAGTGAATGTAGTGATCGCGATATTCAAATGTGTAATTCAATACTCAATCAGATTCGGAGCTTGACTGAACTAGACAAATCTTCAATAAATTCACGATACTGCGACAAATGTGAATGCTATTTTCTTTCCTATTCACTTTTGGTGAGATTCGAGGATGTGATTTAAAGCTTCAAACGGCCGAATCAATGGGCGATATTCATCCAGTGATCGGACCGAAGCGCGCCACATGATACACCAGCCACATGTGGCTTGGATTTCTCTGGACATTCTGCGGATCTTTTGATGCCTCAGGCGGAAAGATTGTACACGAGTAGAGCTTTGATACTCGATTGAGTTTATTTACTGAGGTGTGTTCTTAAAAACATTCTCTATTACTGGAATTGTCTCGCAATAGTGGAGTAGTCTAGCCTAAATAAAATCCGGTGACGTCCACTAATAAATAACATACACCCTAAACCGACCTCTATCCAAGGCCTGCCATCATGTACAGTCATAATCATTAAGGTATACCAATATTACGTAAGATCTCGTTCTCTTAGCATTTCTGCGCCGAGGAAGACAGTCTGACCTTCACACCCCGATCATGAGACATGGTGAGGGTAGACAGGATCACGGGCTGTTTCAACTCTGGGTCGGCGCACTCGAGGGTGTCAAAGTGTTGGATCAACCTGACAAGGGTATAGCTTGCTTCTGTGAGTGCGTATTGCTCTGTATTCTTTAGTTAGAGCTTCCCTTGACATGGGGACAACTAGATATATAACTTACGACCAAGGCAGATCCGAGGGCCTCCGTTGAATGGAAGATAGTCCCAACCGCGTCTGCCATTTTCCTCCCAGCGTTCTGGTCGGAACGAATGGGAATCGGGTCCATAAAAGTCTGTGCGGCGGTGCATAGCGTAGACACTGTATGCGACAACCTGTCCCTTTGGAACAAAGACTGGGGATTTTCCATCAGGGCCACCTCCAACTGGTAGAGAAGTGTCCTTGGCAGCAACACGGAAATTCAGAGGAACGGGGGGCAATAGCCGGAGAACTATTCTTGTCAGCTCTGTAGACTACGGCTAAAAAAGAGGCAGAAGTACATACCCTCGTTCAACACATATCGCAAATATGGGATATCCTTGAGTTTTGCTTGTGTAATTTCTCCCTTTGGGTTTTGGCTATCTCCAAACTCGTCGATGATGGTTTGTCGCAACCTTTTCCAAACTTCCTGGTTGCGTGACAAGTAGAAGAATGTAGAACTGAGCAGACTAGCCGTGGTATCACGACCAGCCACGAGAATGTTGAGCATATTATCTCTCAGCACCTTTGGATCATCGTTATCTGCAGCCAAGGCCTCCGCAAAAATATATCTATCGGACTTTTTGTCCGGATTGTTCTTGGATTGAATAGCAAGCTGGACATAATGATCAACGACCTCGTGGACGCGCTTGTTGGCTTCACGGAACTCTTTAGGATTGACCATCCAGTAGAAATGCATAGCACGCGAGCGGTGTGTCAGGTAATCTTGGGCAGTACCGAATGCCTCTGCGAATCCCTGTGCATTTCCGACGGATGATTTGCCTAAGAGACTCTCGCTGTTGGAAGATTCCAAAGCGCCGACCGATTCTCCAAACAGGAAATGCGTGGCAGAGTCGATTGTTAGAAGGAAAAACAGACGTTGAATGTCAAAACTCGAACCATCCTGGGGAATGAGATCAATCAGGCGGGAGATATGACCGTCCATGAGCTCTAGGTCAGCCACCTAAGGATGTCAGCAACCATATCCTCACGCAAGCAAAGGTTTGTCTGTACCTGATCCCGCGTGAATTGAGGCCGTAGCAGCCCACGTGCATGAGACCAGCCAGCACCATCAAGAGTAAAGATTCCGTCCCCAAGTAAAGGGTAGAATTCACGGTGTCTGGTTCCCAGGGCGAAATCGTTGAATTGGGTTGCCAACAGAGCTTTGATATTCTCCGGTTCAATGGTAGACACCATCCATTTACCTAGAGCCTTCTGGGTATAAGTGTTTCCGAACCGCCCATACTGCCCGGCAAGATATTCAACCCATCGTTTGTGCCTGACTTCATTGAGCAACCGTACAAATGCTCGGATTCCAAAGATGCCTGGTGTCCCTTGAGGAGCAGGCTGGCATCCAAGAGATTGAGCTCGCTTGCGCTGCTGATACAGTCGCTGGAGGTACTGTAGAACTAGGAAGGTAATGGACAGGGCACCAAAAAGCGGAGCAATTTGGGCCAGCATGATGCCAACAGAGAGTTACAGTTTGCGGAAGTAGGGCTGTATATGTACCGCTAAGTGAGGTGAATATGACACGAATGAGAGCCTGGGGATGGTGCCCCGGCGGGTGAGAGGACGGTACTTATACATCGATTGACTGAAAGCACATGTGTACGGATGACTTGAAACATTGAATAATATATACAGGAAAGTTCATCACGACCGAAGACCGAGCACGAGGGAGATCAGACTGAGGCATAATCCAGGCACATGATTTGCTGGGCCATCGCAAGCATCTCCTGAAGAGGTTAGCTTGAAAGTCCAGGAAACTGAGTTATTGCTCGGCCCTCGGGGGCGGGAGACCTTGAACTTCATCCACTCCACACTTGGGATCTTCCTCGTTTTCCCCACATCACCGCCCCCTTTGTTAACTCCGCTTCTGTCACGTTCACCTTGGAAGCATTGGGGCTTGAAGGCTTGAAGCATGGTAACCATTTTGTCAATGCTTCCTTGAACAGCTCTCGTGCCGCCTTTCCTTCCGTGGATAAACCTTGGAAATCATAGCAATGTTCAGACTGTTTGAGAAGGTATCCGAACACTTTGTCTTCACTCGTCTCGCCACAGTTCGGGATCTCGGTAGAGAACGTCATTCCATCGGGCGCAACCCCAGGCGCAATATCTTCAGCGGTCAGCATAGACAACGTCCTCCATGGATCAAACTCTCCGCCAGTGAAGAACGTATTGGACGGTCGGATATTCCAGCCTCCGTACTTTTTGTTGAGGGCTTCTGTCTGTGGGCGTGATGGCAGCATGCCGTTTCCGACCGCCTGTGCGAACTGGTTATTGCATATTTCCTGCTGATACTCCAGGGTCTGGTAGCGGGAAAGCAGTGAATGAGGGCCAAAATTGTTGCTCTGATAGAATCCCCACTCGGTGCAGTACTGCCAAGTCCAGCTGATAGAATCAGGGTCATTATACACCACACCCAGCTTACAAGACGGCGTAGCAGGATCACTAAGTCCTCTGCAGTTGGTCTCCATAATATTATTAACCAATGGCGTGAATGCTGGCCATCCAGCCCAACGTTCAGCCACATACTTACTTCCACGGACTGGAGCGAAGCCATCGGGGCCTGCCGCCTCCTGCGTTGTAGGATCCACTTCAAGATGATTGCAGAGTTCGCGCAGACTTCCTTCTGGACCGTCAAGGGCATAGTTCTGGAAATAATTATAGATAGTCACCAAAGCTGCGGTGAAGCCTTCATTGCTGTTCTGCTCAGCTCCAGGGCCAAAAAACAGCGTTTTGATAGCAGCAGCGGTGTGATTGTTTGATAGTTGCTCATCTATATAACCTAGAGCTGCATGGATATCCTTAGCACAATTTTCAAAACCATGGCCGACCAAACCACGGTAGACTTGGTCATAGTACACGCTCATATTCAGTTGTGCTTGGACCGGAGCAGAAGAAGAATAAGCAGCAAAGATAACGTCTGGGTACTCGTTGCGGGCAAAAGCAGCCCGAATCCCACCATATGAACCTCCAACGAGGACCCAGGGTGTGGAGCTGGGAGTGAGATCAAGGTCGGCGAACTTCGGGCGGCTGAAATTCTGCGCAAAGTACGGGATGTCATCAAGGGCTTGTTTGGTCGTAAGGTATTTAAAATGCTCAGGTGGTGTATCCCTGCTGATTGGAAATGGAGTCGAGTTTCCGTAATATCTACATGCCGTTAGCTGTCTGGGCCATATATAGTAATCAAGAGAAAAACAAACCTATGTTCCCATATAATTCCCATGGCGTGAGTCTCCTCAAGCATTTTCTTGAAAAATGAGAAACTCGATGTCAAGTGGTTTTTGGCAATACTCTCTGCGTTTGTTTCCCCGGCGTCGTACATGATGATCGGACGCCCAGCCTCGTAGTAGTCATCATTCACCCAGAACCGATTTTGGTAGGTGCCAACAGAAGCATCATTATGGTCGATAGGAATCTAAAAGCGTGCTTAGCTATGGATTCTAAAGCGCCATGAAACAGGAGAGCTTAAACATACCGTGATGTACTCTGTGGTGACCGTCTCATTTTCACTTTTGGCCTTGACGAGCGCTGAATGTACAGTATTTTTGTTGGAGAGTAACTTGGGATCCAAGTTCAACTCAGCAGCCAACCGCAGCTCTCGCATATACCTAGATCCTCCAAACAGCCCCAAGCCCACAACGGGGCCAGCCAATATAGCAAGGCTAGATAATATTAGAAAGAAATCGAGACGCATCTTGGCCTGAAAAGACAGTGACTTTTCGTGCCCGCACGTGCACAAAATAAGAAATAAACGAAGGGTATCTCAAGGAGCAAGAGTACAGATAGCTTACCAGAGATAGGGAAGGAGGGCACCTGTGTCTGTTATATGTATGCGCAATGATCGATACTCTTGCCGGACGGCTGCGTCAACGAGACAATCCAAACCTTAGCCCGGTCGGCCGACTCAATGTACGTTCCTCATGACGTATCAGCATAGGTCTGTTAGGATTACATGGTATGCGGTAGGCTTGTATAACGTGAATGATATGTCTGAGTACGTTCGAGTTGGACAACATGTTACCCAATGCGGAAATGAGGTTTGCTGGAGAAGAATCCAGATTGGATGGCTTCGGCCATCGGCCCGGTGGACAGACGCTACGCCTCTAAGTTCGGCGTTTGGCAGTGCACATGGCGCCAAGAGCCCTGTCGATCGTTCACGATTCGGGAATGTCATGAATGCCCCAACCACCAAATAAGATCGCCACATGACTGAAAACGGTGCCTGTCTTTCTATAGCTGAACTGAATCAACAAAAGCAAATCCAATTCACTTTCAAGTTTAGCAACCAGTGAGACAGTAGTAATGCAGCCACCAAAGTGCCGTGAACATTGAATGCCTGATGGCTTCAATCTTGGAACCTTC